AAATATACATGGTTGGTAAATTTCAGTGTGGGTTCAGAATGGAAAATTTATTCAAAAAATACTTACCTATGTCTCTCTTCTATACTTTCTATATGCATCTGGTCAATGTATATGCGAGGGGTGAGGAACAGTCTCCATGTCAGTGGGTTCAGTGGGTTTGTGCGGTATTCCCAGTGCAGTTCAGCAGAATGCATTTTCCCAACAGGTTCTCCAGGCACTGTTACTTGGTGCTTACTCCCTGGTTCATAATACCGCACTCTGAAAGAGTAGATGAAGTTTGTTAACCGACATGTATTATAGCATCACATTTTTTGTCTCTGTTATTTCCCCATTGCTGTGCTCTGTCAGATGAAGGCTAAGGATACTTACGCTTCTGTCAATTCAATTTTCTTGGTAACTCCCTTATCTCCTTGTAAAGTAACCAAGATCATTCCAACTTCCCCTCCATGAAGCAAACTTTTACATGAGTCAGAAATCTTCCATGTAACACGGTAATGATGACCTGGAAGTCAGAATTATGATGTGAACTAAATTTTGGATTCATTACATATCAGATTTACTTACACTCATTGTATATTATTTCCTCAGTTTCAAAATTTGGGTTTTAAATAATGTAGGAAATATTTTGGAAGATTTTCAATTAGTGATGGTGGTTATAATGTATCATTATTTGTAGTTGGTAACTGTTTGGTGAAAAGTGTATGTTCTTGTGGGGTGTGGCACCATGTGTACTCATAAGTAGACACCAACTTCAACCCAGGAGATAGAGATACTATGTTTTTCTGATATGTTGATGTACTTATAATTGTGTTGGTATACCTGTAAGTCTACGTGGCATTAAAACCAAGAGCATTGACAACTTAACCATTATGGAAACCTCAGATCTCACATATTGGTGAAAATAAATATTACAGAGAAAACAATGTCAATCTGTCATTCTACATTATACAAGTAAACACAAAAATTTGAAATACAGTACTATCTGTTATGTAACTATATGAAGGCACTGGGATTATAACTTCGAAGTAACCAAGCACAGGGTAGATCAGCTTGAAATGCACTAGACTTCCTTTGGAAAGTTATTTGTTCTTATTATGTCAAGTGGCAGCTGTTCTAACTTAGTGACTTAATATCTACCTGTCTTTCCAAGAAAATCCTGTAGTTTTCAAAAGTGCCACAATGTGCTTCTGTTGCCCCGTTTTTCCCTTTTATCTCTGAATCAATACCCATCATCACTGTACATTTATTGCCCATGGGCCTAATGGGCTTATCATTCAGTTTTAGTCCTTTAGTTTTCATAGCTGGAGTTTAGTGTGTAACGTAAGTTTCGTGGAACAGTCACATTGAATGTTGGTTTTCAACATTTCAGCAGCCATTGCTGCCACCATCTTAGGATTCACCCTGAAAATGGTGACTGCAAAGGTTGCTGAAAGAGAAGACCTTCATTTGGTTTGGTTTATTCCTGAAAGTTAAGGTACAGAATACATCAAGTTATGTATGGATACAGCAACTACAGCTTGCCGCAGACCAGCTACGCCACCAGACCACCGAATAAATAGCTAAGTGCAGAGTCTATTCCTATGAATAACAACATTTGGCGCAGTGTCGCTTAAAATACTTTTCGTCAAATGACCTAACACAGCGCAATAACCCAGAAGACGGATATCTTCATACTCACCGCTGTGAGAACCTCAAGTCTTACGTCCTATTCATTATTTATTTTCTAAATCAAGTTTAAACCATTTGATTAAATGAATTAATTTCCTTGATGCCACTGATGATGACCTTTTGAGGTTGAAATGCGTATGGCAATAGTGTCTTCTTTATAGTGTTAATAGTTGTTTGTGTGCTTATTTATATCCTGTTATATCTGCTAAATTTATGTTGAATTATATTATGTTGTGTTTCTTGTGTCTGTGTGTGTACCCATGAGGGCTTAAGCTGGTTCATAATCAAAACTATCTCAACTACTTTACAGTTAAAACGTGCACTTACGACAGAAGGGTCCTTCTGCTCCAGTCATCATGAACAACTTGACATGAGTCCGTGGTGGTGGAAGATTAAGTGGTGAGCCATAATCTGCTCCTTTCCTAAGATATGAATCTGCATGTAATCCCAACTTTGTCTGGAAAGGACATTTATTCCCAACAGCACAATCAAAGCAAGAACCATTCTGAAATTCCTCCCAAGAACCACATTCTGTACCCATGAAATAACAAGATCTCGGGTTGATAGATTCAGTGAAATACTGGTAGCTTCTTATATGGTTGCAGCCCAACATATGTCGAATACCTGTAACAGAGAAACAATAATGAGGATGAATGATGTGAAGCTTAAAATGTTCTCTGGCCAGCAGCTGTGTCACCTGTTCAAACTCTGCTGAGTTTAACCAAGCGACGCAGCTGCTGGCCCGAGAAGATTTTATTGATAATGAGGATATCAGTCTAATGTGTGCTGTATTTCATTGTAACAGAGACTTGGACAAAACAAGTGACCTCAATATACAAATATTTTGGAATTTAAGTGTTGTACCTGAAAACTGGAAAATAATCAATTTTTTTATTACTTATCACCAATTTTCTGTTTCACTTCATTTATTCACATGCTTGATGACAGCAAAACAAGGCAAATTACAGCCAAGTACTAAAAGCAGCAGTAGAATTTTATGCAGATTCTTGATGAACTGAAGAAGACTTTATTGCTCCCACACATATAGAAGAATCTACAGCTGCATATTGATAATCATTTAATTGGACTGACTATATATGCACATAAGCATTAACAGTGGACAGTGTATCTTCACTTTTCATAATTTAAGTAACATTTTACATGATACATGTGTTTTATTCCCATATCTTTGCTTGAGAGATACATGGAGATTCTGAACTACAAACCTTCTTAGTCCACTGGAAGGACAATGGAAAAATAGGCTTTGAGTAACATCCATAATATATCTATAAATGCAATTTATGAATATAAATTAGATACAATATACACAGTACTGTTAAGCTGGGCGTGGGTATATACAAAAATGTTATTTGTTGAACTAACATTCAGTGTTATGTTAATGTCAGTCATATCCATCCCTTGTATATTCTAAGCACAACATGACTTGCCCATTCTAACAAAGTAGAATGTAACAGTTATGGCATTTAGAATGTAAATACTTGGTAAAAATTAGCTTGCTAACACCTGGTACTACAAATAGAGTAAAAGGGTTATGGACATTGATTTTAGGGTACACTAAAATTTTCCATCTCAAAATGTTAATTGAATTTCACATTATACATTTAGTTGAATAATGTCCACATATGAGCCACGATAGCTTGATCACTAAAGTGATGTAACAGTCTAGGCAGTCAAGGTCCAAAACCTGTTGGGGCTGTTGGAATTTATTTCCAGATCTAGTCCATAATGGCTCTGGGGCTCAGAAAATCTCCTAGGACATTTTTGCCAGCGGTAAAGCAATGTAAGCATCAAGATAGCAACTCACCCCAATCTAGTGCAAAAGTTTATGCCTTCATGTTGTGTTACCCATGAACAGGTAGCCTTTTATTGTAGTAAATCCTGCACAAAAGAATTTGTAGAGCTCTGTCAATATAGTGACTTCATTACAGCCTGGATGACCGAGGTTCAATTCCAAACAGGAGCAAAATATTTTTCTTTTATCTGCCATGCCCAGACTGGCTATGGGGCTCACCCAGTGTCCTATCCAGTGAGTACAGAGAGTAAAATGGACAGGGTTGAAGGCGACCGACCATTCATCTCCATCCATTGCAGCGATCAAGAATGGAGTTATACCTCCTTATGGCATGGTGTTTAATAAACACTATGGAAACTTTAGAGTTTTAATATAATTTGCTATAAAATTTATGAATATGCTCTAATTATTTGTTCTGTTTACAAATTTGAAAAGCAGTCACCAAGAAACTACAGATTTCCAAACACAAGGGCAGCAGGTGCAACAGATTTTAAATTGTAATTGATGGACCTGACGATGATGGAATGAACATCGAAACATGTCGTCATTTTAAAATGTAACAATATTAAATGAAGAAATGTTATAATTTTATGTGATTTTAACAATATATAAGCTTGTGTAAAGACGGTGAATAAAATTGATTATACAAAATTTAAATGTAGCAAATTTATTAAAAGTGTGAGAAGAAGGGAAGAAATCACTGAGGTTATTTTAAACAAAACTTAAGTGTATATTTGTTATAAATATGATTGTTGGGCAAATGTAATCTGCACATTAAGCATTTTAATACTGACAAAACAAAACTACTTAACCTGTATTAACACCAACAGTTTTTATGAATAAAAGCTCATTCTATTAATATACATTAAAGAATTACAAGCTACATGGTATGGAAAGCCATAAAATATTGAATATAATTCTTTATCATATATACAGAAAAAGTTGCATAAATAAAACCCAGTTTATATTCAAGCTTCATGTGTAAAATAACATTTAGATTTACACTCTGAACATGTGGCTGAACACAGTCACACATTTGTTTACCTGTATAGAAACTGCCGCTTCCTTTTGCCATGTATGACATAACACTTTTACGACACCCAGGTTGTTCAATTCCACCATTAGGGTAGAAATCCACATGTCCAATAGGCTGCAAGATACCCAGCCCTCCACTGAGGAATGGTCCAGCATCTGTATGAATTACGTCTACAAAATCTGCATCTGTAGGGTCCAGGCGGACAATTGGATCTGTCTTACTGAAGTGGGGTTCTGCTGGATCAAGACCTGGATGGTAATTATCAATAAAACATCCATTTTTATTCCAAAATTAATTACACTACTATCAAAGTAGGTATAACGTTATATTTTTATAAATGACTAAGTCTTGAGTGCTTTCACAAAATATTATGTACAGAGCAGCTGTACATAATATTTTGTGTACAGAGCAGCTGAAGGAAACAATATGAATTATTATTTAACCCATTTGAAACAAACATTCTAATTGTAACATTAATTTGAATCTAATCTACTCGTGCATAGCTCTAATGTCCATAAGAGCTACACAGTCGCAACCAGAATTTGTTTTCATTATCCCTTATCTTCCACTACCCACTCAGACCCTGCAATTTTAATGGTTAATCTCAGATAATCAGCAGCCCACCTAAAGGAGACTCATGAAACTAAGGGAATGGTATCAAGAGAAATGAAGAATATCATTTTGTGTAATTATTATTGGATAGTTATCTAAATTTAGGTATCTTGGTTTCTAAATACCGTAAATAAATTATGATGATGTTAATAATAAACAAGAAAAATTCTAAAATATGTGTGGAGCAGTTTCTCAGTCTATCCAGGCAAATCTCAGTACCTCAAATTAGGCCATGGTCTCTTCCTTAAATTCCATAATTTGTTATTCATTAATCATCCCAACATTCAGCACTATACAGAGTGAATATTTCATACCCTCGAGTTCTTTATGTTATGCGTGCACACGTCCATATATATTATATCCATCATTTAGTCAAAGATTTATTAGAGGTGGAGACATACAATACAGTGCACATAATACAAGATGACATCAGAATAAAAACATGTATATCTGTTAAAACAGATTATGGCAGTCGGTATCAGGAAAATCACCCAACGTTTGACAAATTCTTGAGATCTGTGTCTTGGTAGATGTTACAAAATATCTCCCACACACAGCATTCGTTCTCGATACTGAATGAATATTTTGGCTTGCAGTTTTGGAATTGGCAGGGATATCTTTTTATTTTGCTATTGGAGTGTTCCACTTAAAACAACCCAAAGCTTTTCAGCATTTGTACATTTTGGTGACATGAATATAACAAGGCAGACTAGATGTTTTTAATTTGTATTTGTTAGGAAAAACTTACAGAACAGCTTTGCAGCAGATGTTCAATGCCACAAACACTTCTGTGTCCAGAAATTTTTTTTATCAGTTGTAATATTGTTGCCTTACTTGGTACTTCCATGTCATAATATGCATTGTCAAATGCAGCAGATGATATCAGTGCAAAGCATTGTTCAAGAATGAACATACATTCTGCTCGTGAATACACTTTTTCGCACCTGCACAGCTTCTGTGCAACTGGGGTGACCTTGAATGTCATT